AACTTTAGAGATAGTTTAGAAAAATTCAAATAAAGCTGGGACTTTCATCCCATTCGGGCGAAAACAAGCTTGAATTTGAAGTAATTGCATTCCACTAACAACCCAATTTCATTACTTCATTATGATGGCTACCAAGCCTTTGGGGATTTTCCCTATAAGAGAGTTGTATAGATGTTTCTTCTTCACTTTACTTAAATCTTTGGTTATTATTAGTTAGGTAGGTCCCGATTCCACACGTTGTAGTTTCACTTTTATACCTGTAATCTTGAAATTGTTACCTAGGAAATGAGTTCTTCTTCTTCTTCTTCTTCTTTTCTTTATTTAACGTCAGTCTCTGTTCCGCAATCTAGTGCCAATCACCGACGGACATCGATTTCCATCCATTGACGGCAATCGAATGTGCAGGAAGGCAGCTTTCCACACCTGCGTAGGATATCGCACCTATTCAAACACACATGGGCTGGGACCAACGGCTTTACTTTCCTTCCGAAGTGACCAGAGATTTTTATGCCTCAGAATAATCCGACCGACCTCGGCTGGGATTGAACCCAGACCCATTGGGGTGAGAAAGCAGTCACGCTTACCACTACACCACCGGCGCTGACAGATGAGTACTTAAGGGGATTAGATTTTGATAAGCCTTTAGGGGGAATGACTGCACATTGAAGTCGAAATACGTATCTGTCATTAATTAAGTGGAATTAAATGGAAGATAACCTTTTTGCTGTTTTATTTAAACTTGAATTTGCTATATACTAATTGTTGATGATGGTTCGTGGTCTGATCAAGCTTTTGTCCAGGAATCTGCCTGAAATCCAACTTGACATAGGTTTTGTCGTCCATGAGAAGGCATCCTCTGTACTTCGTCAGAACCCGGTCGAACAACTTCCCGGCGCATGTTCTGGCCACTAGATTCTGTGTCATCGTCCTGTTGTTCGGTTACTTGGAGGCACGAAATGAACGGTAACCTGCTCGCAGACGTATCCTCTGGACGGTACTACAACTGGCACCGTATTTTTGGTGACATCCCGATCCGAGAGTTCTGGGTTGATCTTGATCGAAATCAACACCTTCCAGTTCAGCTGCTGATCCAAAGTTCCAGCACGACGTTTGCTTTGAACCTTCGGTGGCACACTCTTGCGATCACGAAACCGCCTGAGAACATCTCCCACGGTATAAACGGCAAATTTTTAATTTTTTCGCGATATTTCGAAATATTTCACCACTGAAACACGTGTACTCTCAAAACAAACCACTGTCAAATCATCGTAAATCTAGCCACTAGAGGCGCTGCTATAGAATAAATAAAGTGTCCGGATTCTAAGTGGACCAGACTACATCTTTCTACAAAATAGTAAATTACTAATTACATAACGTAAGGAATGGGCCAGAATTATATGAATAAGATCTGCATACATATTTTAACACGTTTCGAAATTTTCAATTCATTTACGTATTCGTAATAAATGCATTACAAAGTACAATCAGTCGAATTTGTTCTGCTCAGGGCATGAAATTTCAATAACTGTTTTCACTAAAGCTTGAGTCATTTAATATATGGACGCACTGTTTATTTTACTGCAGTGCTCTTAGTGGTCAGATCTGGAATGTTTTGATAGCATTTTTTAATATTTTGTGCTGTTTTTAAAACCTGTTGAAGTAGTAGCGGCAGCATACCTATGGTAGTTCTTTAAAATCATCGTGATGTCATAAATTCCATTGCAACATATTGGGTGATATCATTCTTTTTTCTCTTTCGTTCCACTATTATATGAAACATTATATCACAGACAAACAGACGTACTACTTCGTTGTGTATCTTCGTTCACGCATTTAACGGTTGATTTGAATATTATCAGTTCCACGAATTACTCGCCACAGCGCACAGTGGTCCAGAACGCAGATTTAGGTGGAATTATATGTTTTGAGCCTGAAATTGAAACTTTAGACTAAAAGTATATTCTACAAAGTTGTTCCTTATAGTTAGGCCCTCATTTTTATGATAATGAATTCTAGGATGGTTCCTATTATCATTAAAATCAAAAATCTAACTTTTTTGTTTGAATAAATTAAGGTATACATTCTTGGGCAAAGTTATAGCTGAGCTAATTTCAAGCAACAACAACTTTAAAAACAATTTTTTGTGTCTCTTAAATTGGCCGATTTAGAGCTATTTTCTTGAATTGGGTTAGAGTGGCTCTAAAAAAAACAGTTGTTTTGCTCTAGTTTTCTTATTTCGAATTTCTCAGCAAAGGTGTCTTCAAATAACTTTTAGATCTTAAGAAGGCACAAAGCTTGTCAATATCTTTCGCCGATCAAGAGTTATTGACGTTTTTATACTAAAAATATGCACTTTTCAAATGTTAATATCTCTGGTTGGGGCAAACAAAAAAAAAGGTTTTTTTTTCGGCATTTGAAAGGGCGTATGTTATTCTCAATAAAATGCAAAAATTGGAGGTATGTTATTTTTGAAAAATTGCAATGAAATCCATCTTTTGCCAATAACTTTTTTTTTAATTTATCATGAAAGTCATCTCGTAGAGACTTTTAAAACTCTTAAAGACGAATATTTTATAGCCAAATTTGTTGTCTGTATCTCTTCTAATAAAACATATATGCCCAAATATAGTAAAAAATATGAACAAATTGATTTTATACGAGTTTATAAAATAACATACCTCCAATTTTTTCATATTATTGAGAATAACATACGCCCTTTCAAATGCCTTAAATTTTTTTTGCCCCAACCACAGATATTAACATTTGAAAAGTGCATATTTTTAGTATAAAAACGTCGATAACTCTTGATCGGCGAAAGATATTGAGAAGCTTTGTGCAGCAAAAATTGCGCCTTCTTAAGATCTAAAAGTTATTTCAGAACACCTTTGCTGAGAAATTCGAAATAAGAAAACTAGAGCAAAACAACTGTTTTTTTTAGAGCCACCCTAACGCAATTCAAATAGCTCTAAATCGGCCAATTTAAGAGATACAAAACACTTATTTTCAACAAAATTGCTTGAAATTAGCTCAGATATAACTTTGTATACCTTAATTTATTCAAACAAAAAAGTTAGATTTTTTATTTTAATAATAATAGGAACCACCCTTGAATTCATTGTCATAAAAATGAGGGCCCAACTATAAGGAACAACTTTGTAGAAGAGACAATTATCATCATCATCATCATCATCATCATCATCATCATCATCATCATCATCATCATCATCATCATCATCATCATCATCATCATCATCATCATCATCATCATCATTATCATCATCATCATCATCATCATCATCATCATCATCATCATCATCATCATCATCATCATCATCATCATCATCATCATCATCATCATCATCATCATCATCATCATCATCATCATCATCATTATCATCATCATCATCATCATCATCATCATCATCATCATCATCATCATCATCATCATCATCATCATCATCATCATCATCATCATCATCATCATCATCATCATCATCATCATCATTATCATTTAAAAACATTTTTAAATTATGCTAGAACGTCAACCATTTGTGCGCTCAGATGGATTCGATTATGACGGGTTCAGTATAAAACAATCTTTAAACGTGGGACACTTAGATTTGATTGTGGTTTTGTATGAGCCAAGAACAAATGACATATTTTTTTTAAATTTTAAACGAAAGTTTTTTTTGTAAAATTGCACTGATCTAAATATTCTGTTTATTCAAGTAGGGGAAATGACGGCTTCGGCATGCCAGACTATTTTCGGCAACCCAAATTGAAACACTATTTTCACTGGATTTTCTTACGAAAACACTTCGCTGAACGCATGCAAACGATTCTTTATTCTTTCAGCTTCAATTTGACTATATTTTTACCACTGAGAAAAAGCAATCTAGCAAGGTTTTCTTGAAATGAAACACACGCACTACAAATTGTAGCTGATTTCGAGTTGCCGATAATAGAACAGCAGATTTACATGCAGTTCAAATGGAACGGTTGCTGAAGAAAAACTGGTTGCCGACAATACTCGCTCTCACTAGAGAAGATTGGAGCTTTGTAAAAGCGTTTCAAAACAGTTTTTGACAATTCTTTTGACTGAAATTGTTAGAGCAGCTGGCAGCAAAAGATTGTATACAAACCAATACTGCATATGTGTGCGTTCCTTAGAGAAAAAGGCTATAGAAAGAAGGTCGCTGCTTAGGTTGCCGAGAATACGTAAATTCCCCTATTATACTTTAATCAGTAAGCATGATTTATCTTTGTTTTCCTTTATTTCTATCACTCCAACCCTGTCTGGATTTTTTTAAATTTTTTTTGGAAAATCAGGGAATATCAGGGAATTTATTTTTTATCATTGAATCGACGCCCTGTTGGTCTATAAATCTGTTTTTAATCAGGGCTTTAACTAATTTTAATATTGACCCGCGGTCGTATTGAGAGCGGTCGTCAACCAAGAAAAGAAATCTGCGAATATTTGTTTGATTCAAGCAAAAAGCGTTTAATTTCATTCATGTATCTATTGCATAATATTCCATGCATCAAAGCTGTCTTGCTGAGAAGTTAAACAATTGCGTAAAACTTCATAGGTTCCTTCAAGCTGTTCGCAAAAAACGGTTCTTTGCATTTACGATGTATGTATTCTACATGTGTCTTACCCAGAAGTTCACTCTGCCTAAGGAAGACCGTTCCATATAAAATTTCATAAATCACATCTTGGTTGTTACACTCGGTCATGTACCTTCCTCGGTAGCCAAAACAACGCTGTGTATTATACACGCACGTAAATGACAACAATTTACACGGCAGCAGCTGAAATGCGACGCGTCGAAAGGCACATCAGAAACACAACATCTAACGAAATCTCCTAAACATTCGTTGTCACGAAGGGCACCGGTATAAAATGTATGGTTATCGCACAAATCTGGCAGAATTCATTCACAGCTCTCAAGGAAAGTGCATCCCATAGTGTGGAAGTAACCGTCGCGATCTCCAGCAAAATGTTGAAACTATTCGTCTGCATCGTCGTGGCTTTCATCAGTCAGGCCGAATGCAAACCGTACAGCAAACCGAACCCGTATCCTGGTCCACAACGCCAATGTCGAACGGCTCATTGCAACGTGAATCCTGCTCTCCGAAACGAAGGCCTCTATCCGTCGACAAATCAGTTGCAGCGAGTAGGTGTCTACCCCGGTTGCAATGCGGACAACAGCCATGAATACGAAGAGAACCACCCGCCACCACCACCAGCCCCACCAGCCGAAAAGTGCGACAAATCATTGCCAGTTTCCGTGTGCGTGCAGATTCCTCCGGAAACAGCCTTAAAACTTCCGAAATGTGTTCTCCAGCAGATCGTGTACGCCTTGACCAGGAACGATGATGCCCCGGAACATACGCCAGTGGAACCACCATGTACTCAGTCACCATGCACTCAGTCACCATGTACTCAGTCACCACCTCCATGCACGCAAACAACACCCCTGCCGACACCCACCCCTACAACAACTACCGCAGCACCGGTGGCATACCCATCACTGAATTACCCTTTTAGGCCATCTGGCTATTGTGGATCGTGTCGATCGTCGCTCACTCCACGATACAACCAGTCATAATTGAGAGAACGTCGACCGCTGTGAATGAGTTTGACGAATATTATCTGTGTTTCGAGTGCAATGAGAGCTGGCTTATTTATTTATTTATCTATTTATTAGTAGCTAAATAAAACCAATGATCCCATGTAAAAATATAACATTTGTGTTATCACATTCCCCTGCGCTGACGGCCATAACATTTTCGATAAATGCTCTGGATCACCTATGGTAGCACAGCTCGGAACTGAAAAAATGACAATTTAGGATAGTTGCTTACATCGCTGTCGTTCGGGTCCTGTGGTGGAGGATGGTGACGGGGACTTCCAGCGTTGTATTCCATGTGTTTGAAATAATTCTGCACCTAATTGCTTTCCAAGTTGCAGCATTTTACCAGGATGGCACAGGCACAGCATCTTCAGAAATCCTCCAACGACATATTATAAAACAATACTCACTTCTGGTATAGGGGAAATGGATGTAATGTCCGCCTTAATGCCCCTAATTTGGGCCCATACATAAATTCAGCATTGGACTAAATTTTCAATAGCGACCAAAAATATCCATTAGAACCGTCCCAATGACGCGTTCTTCTAGAAAAAATTTATTAATAGTAGATTTTTAGCGATGGGCCCTATCTATGTTCCATAGGCCAACATTAGAGCCAGTTCCCCTAGCATCGATTTTCAATAGCCATGAATCAGAACCGGCTAAACCAGAACGCAATGCGTGCCTAAGATCCCACTCATCCCTGTCGTGCTTGTTGGATCCTGCCGCTATAGTTGTTCTGGCTATTTGGTTGAAATTGGTGAACCTTCTACTTTGGATTATTGGAAACAATTCTTCAGTGGCGGGTCTCCATACAAAAGTCGGACAAAATCTAAAATGTTTCAGAATCTGCCTGAAACTCACATATTTTGTAAATTTTGACATGCTGATTTCATGTTTGACGTTTTTATTTTCCTTGATTTGTTTTCCGTGCTGAGCACCAATGTTACCGACGCCAGGGCGGCAGCACCCACACCTGGACCCCCTACCTATCGACCCATCCACTCATAGACCTGGGACCAACGGGTTTACTTCCTTTCCAAAGGAAGGCGTGATCCGAAATGCAGGACTGTTACAAGATTTTCTAATTTTGATCCGCGAAATCCGTGATTTCTCAAAAGAAATCCTCGAGAAAAAAATAACCATTTGTATACTACATGGTATTTCTTTGAAATACTTTCACGTTTTAATTGAGAGCTTTCTATGCCTGGACCATCCTATGCCAAAGGAAGTAGATAAATTTTCCAACCCGAAAAATTAATAGACCGGACGGGAATCAAACTCAGTCGCCTCCAGCATGGACTTGCTTTGTAGCTGCGCCTTTACCGACTGAGCTAAAGGAGTATCGTTTGTAGCTTTTGAATTTTTTTTAATAGCATTGTATCATCTTCAGTAATTTATGTATAGTTTAAATTCTGAGTAATTAGTGAAAATATAAAAAAAACCCTTGCATTATGAGATTCTATTGATGATGAAAATTTTTTCTTTAATTAATGCATTTTCATTTGAAATGGAAATTTTCTTGAAAATTTATCTTTGCGTCCTAAATAATTTAGTTAATTTTGCTGTAATTTTCTCAATTTTTTTCCGATTCAAACCATGCAGGGTGCACATAAGCGAGAAATTACCAGAGTTTCATAGGTCACACTTTTTGGTCACGTCACGGTTGTGTATTTACACGGATATCCCTTGGGTTCTGTCCAATGGTGAGACATTTTATATATTTTTTTTTAATTCTAATACGAACCTAGCACTTTTCGTTGTCAATTTCATATTCGAATCGTATATATGTGACTTTGTGGATCATGTACGACTTATTACTATGTAGGGGGAGGTAGCTCATCGATTCTTCCGGTTCGCCTCCTAGCATCGTGCTATAAGGTACCAGGCGATAACCAGGGTAGTTGATCGATAGCTCGATGACGTCATTTCGTTGGCGTCTGCAATGGGAAATTCTCATAGCAGGCGTTGACGATGGGACGTTGTCGAGTTGTTGAATAGCAACTATCGTGGTAACTCACCGATTACCTGTCGATCTGCCAAATTTGGAAAGACGTCTGCATTGAATTGTCTCATACACTGGAACCTCCATTTACGAACCAAACCGGGGGTTCGTAAATCGAATTAGTGCGTAAAAAAAACCTCGTTATTTGGGATTTACTTCGTAAAACGAAAACTCGTTATTTGGGATTTACTTCGTAAAAAGAAAACTCGTTATTTGGGATTTACTTCGTAAAAAGAGGTTTTTGAAAATATTGTCAAATACCCCACAATATGGGTATTTTTGGAATCAGGGTGACGTGTAGGGACCGGAAATCGGTGTCTGACGCCATTTTGAAATCCAAGATGGCGGCTTCCGGTTACAGAAAAACTTGGAAATTCTGTCAAATAGCCCACAATATGGGTATTTTTGGAATCGAAGCGACGTATAGGGACCGGAAATCGATGTGTGACGCCATTTTTTAATCCAAGATAGCGGCTTCCGGTTACAGGAAAACAGAAAAATACCGTTAAATACACAACAATATGGATATTTTTGGAATCGGAGTAACCTGTGAGAACCGAGAATCCATGTCTGACGCCATTTTGAAATCCAAGATGGTGACATCCGGTTACAGAAACACTGGGAAATATAGTCAAATATGGGTTTTTTGGAATCGGGGTGACTTATTAGGACTGAAAACCCATGTATGACGCCATTTTAAAATTCAATATGATGACTTCCGGTTACACAAAAATAATGTTAAATAACCTACAATACAGGTATCTTAAGAATCGGGGTGACGTGGTGGTATTTGCCAATTTTTCTGTAACCGAAATCCGCCATCTTGGATTTCGAAATGACATCAGACATCGATTTCCGGTTCTTACACGTCACTCCAATTCCAAAAATACACATATTGTGGGGTATATGACAGAATTTCGAAGTTTTTCTGTAACCGGAAGCCACCATCTTGGATTTCAAAATGGCGTCAGACATCAATTTCTGGTCCCTAAACGTCACTTCGATTTCAAAAATACCCATTTTGTGGGGTATTTGGCAGAATTTCCAAGTTGTTATGTAACCGGAAGTCGCCATCTTGGATTTCAAAATGGCGTCAGACATTGATTTCCGTTCCCTATACGTCACTCCGATTCCAAAAATACCCATATTGTGGGCTATTTGACAGAATTTCGAAGTTTTTCTGTAACCGGAAGTTGCCATCTTGGATTTCAAAATGGCGTCAGATATCGATTTCTGGTCCCTGCACATCACCCTGATTCCAAAAATATCCATATTGTGGGGTATTTGGCAGAATTTCCAATTTTTCCTGTAACCGGAAGTCGCCATCTTGGATTTAATAATGGGGTCAGACATCGATTTTCGGTCCCTTCACGTCACTCCGATTCCAAAAATACCCATTTTGTGTTGTATATGGCAGAATGTCCAAGTTTTTCTGTAACCGGAAGCCGCCATCTTGGATTTCAAGATGACGTCAAACATAGATTTCCAGTTCCTACACGTCACCCTGATTCCAAAAATACCCATATTGTGGGGTATTGAAAGTATCTTCCAGTTTTTCATGAACCGGATGCCGCCATCTTGGATTTCAAAATGGCGTCAGACATGGGTTTCCGGTTCCTACATCTCACTCCGATTCCAAAGATATCCATATTGTGGGATATTTCATAGTTTTTCCCAGATTCCCATAATCGCAAAAAAAAACTCGTTATTTGGAATTTACTTCGTAAAAAGAAAACTCGTTATTTGGGATTTACTTCGTAAAAAGAGGGACGTAAATTGAATACTGCGTAAAAAAAGACTTCGTAAACGGAGGTTTCAGTGTATAATAATATTCCGCCCACTATATCACAAGAAATTGCGAGTAGCTGAGTGGAATGGAGATAAGTTAAGCATTGGGTACAGGACCAAGTCTCCCCTGGGTGGTGCAAGAAGATGAGCGCAATAGAATCATCAAGTTGCCATAAGGCACGGAATGAGACTATTGCATGGCTGGGTAGTCAAAGTCTTCCATACGTTAGTCATTTCAAGTGGATTAGAACAGGTTTAGGTTTAGGGTGGGCGTTGGCCAGATTTGGATTTTTCAGATATAATCCTATATAGGACCTAGATTATTTAATACACTAGTAACCTCAACTTCTGTCACAATGTTTCATTGTGACTAATCAACACTCAATGGGTAAAATATCAAATTTGCGGTAAATTTGAAAAAAAGGTAACTTGGAGTGTAGAGCGCACTGCCCACTGGACGATTCTGAAGCCTGACCAATATATATAGATACATTCATACCATTGGCATTTTGTATTTGAGATAAGACAGAGACAGGATGCGGAATGCCCGCTTAGGGGGAGCGTAACCCATGTTATGGCTTCCATTTATTAAATAGTTCAGATAGGCTGGAAATGATAGGTTCATGTTGAGAAAATGTACCATATGGTGCCCGTTCACTGATCAAAATTAAATTAGATTCAAATCGTCAGGCCCTGCCCTGTAATAAGGGGATTGACGATGATTTGTCAAGTTTCATTTTGCATTTGCATATAATTGTAAGCTTCGGTTTGCTTTTGTAATTGTAAGATAGATAGTTTGGCTCAATTGAAACATTGAGTTGTATAAACTTGACGAATCATACCTCTAAAATAGTAGTAGTTACAGTGCCGCATTATCTAACAACCACTGCCTGCAACTAATGTTGGAGGGGTCAGCAGGGCTGATTACGGATAAAAACTAACATAACTCTAACACTGAAATGATCCCGAAACTAACGCTCATTCATTGCACTTTGAGTCATAAAGTAGTTTTATTTATTTTTTTTCCTACTAATCTATCTACACACTTTGTTTTTTCTACCGAGCTCAGCTTTGTGGGTCTCGGCGGGGAGGGGGTTTCGCTGAGATCTCGGCGGGAGTGACATTTGATTGCCGAGTCTCGGATGATGCCTTTTCTAATAATCTGCCTACGTTCCTTTTATTT